GCTGCTTGGCCTGCTGTGTTCATCCAGCCCTGCACCTTGTTGTCTCGGATTCTCCAGCATCTGCAGTTCCTACTGTCTCTGATTCAAGGGTAAGGATGAGTTTGGTTAAGCAGATGAGGGTGTTGGTGGAGGGGGACTAGTTGGGCCTGTGGGAGAGGAAGAAGCGGACGGGTTTTAGGCCATCCGCATGGGGAATGCAAGTGTACAGGGATTGGATGACCATAGTGAAGATGAGGTGTTGGGGGCCAGGGAATTGGAAGTCTTGGAGGAGGTGGAGAGCGTGGGTGGTGTCCCGGACATAGGTGGGAAGTTCCTGGACTGGGGGGAAAGGACAGAGTCGAGGTAAGCGGAAATAAGTTCAGTGGGGCAGGAGCAGGCAGAGACAATGGGTCAGCTGAGACAAACCTGACTGTCCCACTGAACTTATCTCCGTTTCTGTAATAGTTATGATATCTCAGTCTCGTGTTCCAATCCACACCCTGACTTTATTTGCCTTCTCTGTCAAGCCTCTTGCATTGAAATAAGTAGTTTAATTCATTTATCTTCCGTCATTCTCTGCTGTGCTCTTTGCTGCCTTGTCTATTTAACTTGCTCTCTTTAACATCTGTACTAGCCTCAACTTTCCGTCCTGTCTCACTACTGCTTAGGGTTCCAGACCCCTGCCAAATGTGTAGAGCTTCTACTGCCAGTTCCATCTCAGAGAAGAGGTAAAATGGTTATATCTGCTATTTTGCACTACAAATAAATAATAAGAACTTCCTTGCCACTCCTGAAGGTTGAATGCAATAAAGGTCAACTTCTTTCACTCATTTCTTTCATAGGTCAACAATCAAGTGACAGTGTTGTAGTCACCAAAAGTGGCAACCTTCATTGTCGACTGATAGTACACATGGTCGGGCCCACAACAGCAGCTGGGATTGCAACTTCAGTACATAAGGTCCTTGAGGAATGCGAGAAGCATAAGGTCACTAGTGCTGCATTCCCAGCCATAGGGACAGGTAACATTATCCCTTCTCTACTATTTTAGTAAGCTTATCCTATGAGTTGTTTTATTTTGCTTTGATTTTTCTGAGACTTGCTAATCAGTTTCTGCATTTAATTCAGGTAAAGGTGGAATCAGTTGCAAAACTGCCATCAATGCTCTCTTCAGTGGATTGGAGAATTATTTCTCGAGTATTACAGCGTCCAACATGAAATCCATTTCCATAGTTGTGCTTGAGCAACATGTTTATGACACCGCTGCTGAGGCTTTTGAAGAGAAGAGGTTGAATTCTGGAGTTAGCACGATGGTAATCTGGAGGGATTTTCATTTTCATCAGCTCTCTGTTTTAGTTTAGCATTTTAAAATGTAGGAAGTAATAATCTAACATTACAATTATGCAGTGCGTTAGTTTTAGGAATGAGAATAGTCTATTGAGTCCCTCGGAAACATTCTGCCATTTAGTGAAATCAGGGTCCTATATGGCCCACACATAGAATCCCTACAGTGTGGAGGCAGGCCATTCTGCCTATCAAGTCCACACAAATCCCCTGAAGGGCATCCCAACCAGACACTCTTCCCTACCCTATCTTTATAACCCTATATTTCCCATGGCTAATCCACCTAACCTGCACATCTTTAGACTGTGGGAGGAAACTGGAGCACCTGGAGGAAACCTAAGCAGACACAGGGAGAATATGCAATCTCCATATAGACAGAGACCTGAGGCTGAAATGGAATCTGGGGCCCTGGCGCTATGAGGCAGCAGTGCTAACCACTGAGCCACTGTGCCATCCCATCTGGGCACTGCATTCCTTAACACCTTTTGCTAACAAAATTTGTTTGATCTCATATTTAAATCCATAAATTGAACTCGATTTTTTTATGTGGGAGAGGGTTTTGCACTTCTCCAATCCTTTACATGATGAAATATTTCTCAAGAATGGGCTGGCTCAAACAAAAAATATGCTGTCATGTTCTGGACTCTCTTAGGGAAGGTTTTTTTCTCTCTCTATTTATCTATTAATTCTATTTAAAATCCTAAAGGACTCAATCAAGTGGCTCCTTAACCTTCTGTATTACAGTAAATAACAACTTTGTTTCTGTAATCTATCCTCATCATCAAATTCTCTGAGCTCAAGTGACATTCTGGTGAATGTGTTCTATTTTTCTTCCAGTGCACATGTATCTTTTCCACCGTATAGTGCTTAGAACTTTTTGATTATTATTTATCCTTTCATGGAAGCGAGTGTTGCTGGTGGGCCAGAATTTACTGCCCATCCCTAACTGCCCAGAGGGCGATTACGAGTCAACCACATTGCTGTGGGTCTGGAGTCACATGTAGTATTGACCATATAAAGATAGCAGATTCAAGTTTCAAAGTTTCACGTTTGAATTCAAGTTTCTTCATCTGCCGTGGTGGAATTCAAACCCATGTTTCCAGAATCTTAACCTTGGAGAACAGACTAAAGACCATAATCCAGGTGTGGTGACTTCTGCCTGGCCTTTCAACAAATTGTTTACTTCAACATGGCTTGGTTTAAGGCAGAATTCCACCCAGTAGGACTACCTTTCATCTTCTCCAACTTTTGGAAGCCAGTCAGAACAAACATACCCAAGTGTCCTCAAATAGATATGATTTGAACCAATCTTGATTTCTATATCCACCTAATTAGCATTCAGAAAAGTTCCAGCACCTGGAACGAAGGAAATTAACTAATGCCACAAAAGTTCTACTGGCCAATAGTTTGAAATTGCCCAAGGTGTCCAGTAACATAAAGAAAGTTTCCTTACCTTTCTTCTAGGCTCATCCTTCATGCTGTTTGCCCCTCTGGACACTTGTCACAGGCCCACTTGGCATCCTTTTGGAGGGAAGTAAATGAATCTTAAATAGTTCATTTCACTAGTGTATCTAAGAAGAGAGGTAATGGGAGCAACAGCAGGACACGTGCTCCAGTATTCAATAAAATCATGGCTGTACTTGTAAATCAATTAAATTTGCCAGCTGTATTACCCATCTCTTATTTGTCAGCTGATTTTGGTCTTGGATTTTGAATTTCTTATTTAAATATTTGCAGTTGCTTATTTGATGTTATGGCTTTTATCTAAGTCATCCGTCCTAAATCAGAAAAGGCCTTTGTTTACATTTAAGTCTGTAGTTTCAGATTTAACCACACTATCCACCAATACAGAGAATGATAGGCTTTTGATTGGTAAGAAGATGAAGGGTTATAGGGAGAAGACAGGAGAATGAGGTTGAGAAACATATCTTCCCTGACTCTGAGATAATCTACAGTGATGTTTCCATCTGTAGAAAGATGTCACTTTGTTGCACTTTCAGTTTAGGTCTTTGCTGTATAATTAATTCACATTTACACTGTAATTGTTGCATCAGAGTTATAAAGTGCATCTGTTTCCCAGAAGTGATATATATTTTATGTAAGTGCACCCCAACATTTCATTTATCATCAGGAAATAAATACCACAGCCTCAAACATAAATTAAGCAGAAGGCAATTTCTACATGGCAAATGTTCAAAATCGTGGCTACCATGAGTGATAGTTATTTTCAGATTTTAACGAGTAGCACATGAATTTGGATAATTTATGTCTCCACTCATCCAGAATAAAAATTTTATTTGAGGTACTGTGTATAATGATTAGTTAAAGAGTGAGTCTCAAAGAATGAAACATGATTTGTACAATGGAAAGCACCAAATCTATTTCATTTGTCATGTCTTTGATTTCACACTGAATCAAAATAATTCAAAAATTTGAACAAATAAACATTTCTCAGAACGAGAGTGCAAACCTGACGTAGATACTTTCTTATCTCAAGAAATCCCAAACAGTTCTCAGTATCTTTGAAACCATCACATTATGGAATTCTTGACTTGTCAAAGAAAATAAATGTATTAATTGAAATATAATGAATTTGCTCAATATCATAGAGTAAGATGTTTTAAAGGTCACAGTTTTATTAATAAGTTCAAGAAATTGAACAAACTTACCTCTTTTCAAATTTTAACGTTTCAGGGCAAAGCACAGATGTCTGCGGATCCACAGGATAGATACACCATACAAGGTAATGGATACTTCCATTATTCCAGATTAAAAGGTCCTCCTTGTTCTAACAACAAATCCGTACTTAGCCTCAGCTAATTCAATAAAGAGGTAAAATATAAACTTGGCTTAATGTTTTAGCGAAGACCTGTAGCTCGGATTGTGGGTGGGGTTGTTGGTTGGTTCGCCGAGCTGACTGGTTTTTGTGCAAACGTTTCGTCCCCCTTCTAGGTGACATCTTCAGTGCTGTCTAGCCTCATTTACAGTTACAGTTTAACTGGGACAATGTAGCAGTACTAGGACAAGCAAAACAAAGACAAGCACAAGAATTCCTGGAGACCTGGTTCCCAACTACTGGTACCATAAATAAACATGTTGAAATAGACCCATCTACATACTGCTACAGAGCAAAACGGGAAACAGAACTGCCCACCATAACAGACTGGGCCATTTAACTTCAAAGTGGAACAGCACAACAGTGGTTCAATGGAGGCTAGACAACACTGAAGATGTGATCTAGAAGTGGGACGAAACATTTGCACGAAAACCAGTCAGCTCAGCGAACCAACCAACAACTCTTGTAAAATAGGTATTCAACAGTTTCATAAATGGTGTTTGTTTAAATATACAGGTGGATATACTCACTGATAACCTCGAATGTATGTTTTTAAAATCACATATTTCATTCTTAAGTTCCTTCCTCAACAATGGGCATGTGCTAATCACTAGGAGATGAACGCTGCAGACCTGTATCAAAGTGCATTTTCTCATAAGATTGTTATAAAGTGCATTCACTTTCCCAAGTAACTAAAGTAAAAAATAGTTCTAACCCCAAATTCCACATCCAAGCTTTAACACAATGCTGGCAATTTACAAACTGTAAATTTGTGATTAATTTGGATGGAGAATGATCAGCTATTTTTATGTTAAATTATTATTTAGATAAAGTATGAAAATTTAATGTACCATCCTTCTCTGGTGCATGGCACCATTTTGAAAGTTGGACAAGTATTTAATAGACTAAGCTTCATTGTAAGGTTATGATATTTGTTGCACAGTCTGTGACATGAACTGACAGTATTTATGATGCTAAGTAAAAGCAAATCTCTTTGTTAATCTCCAGGTCAAAGGAGAGGTTTGTTGCCTACGCAGTTGAAAATACACAATGTTTTTGTGGAGGTGAAGCAAGGAGACATAACCAATGAAACTGTAAAAGCAATAGTGAATTCTACAAATACAACATTGGATCTCAATTCTGGTAAGTACATATCCACTTGTATTTAATCGCTTAAGTTTTAGAATAGTATTTTGTAAAATCTTTGAAATTGACAATAAAGCTTTTAATCCGGTAATAAAATAGATTAGGTCAGTGGTTTTCACTTAGGGAATGCCCAAGCGTATGTGAAACTTTCAGCTTCCATGAAGAGTTTGATATCAGCAGGAGGTTTCTCTTAAACAAAAAATGAAAATTTGTAGCAAAGTGGGACACCAGCTTTGGAAGTTGGCTTTTGGGGTGAGGTTCTAACTTTAATCCGTGTGAATTGTTTTTCTTTTATCCTTGAGTTATTTGAGATAGAGTGATAGAGTTGTACAGCACGGAAACAGACCCTGCAGTCCAACTCATCCATGCCGACCAGATATCCTAAATTAATCTAGTCCCATTTGCCAGCATTTGGCCTTTATCCTTCTAAACCCTTCCTATTCACATATCCATCCAGATACCTTTTAAATGTTGTAATTGTACCAGCCTCCACCACTTTCTCTGGCGGCTCGTTCCATACATGCACCACCCTCTGCCTGAAAAGGTTGCCCTTTAGGTCCCTTTTAAATCTTTCCCCTCTCACGTTAAATCTATGCCCTCTAGTTTTGAACTCTCCTACCCTGGAAAAAAGATCTTGGTTATTCATCCTATCCATGCCCCTCATGATTTTACAAACCTCTACACAATCACCCCTCAGCCCCTGACCCTCCAGCCACAACATGACGTCCCAACTCTTATACTCAATGCATTGACCAATAAAGGCACACATACCAATCACCTTCTTCACTAGAGATAACAAGGTGTAGAGCTGGATGAACACAACAGGCCAAGCAGCATCAGAGGAGCAGGAAAGCTGATGTTT